ATGTGTGTGTGTGTGTGTGTGTGTGTGTGTGTGTGTGTGTGTGTGTATGTGTGTGTTCGAGTCTTTATGTCTTTCCATTTATCCGTCTGTCCTTCTGTCCCTCTATCCACCTGTCCACCACTCTATCTGCCAGTCCCCCCTTTCTCTTTTCTTTCTCACATTCACTCACTGACTCATTTTGAACTTGTGTTTTAATAAATAGAAACACATTGACCCAATAGCTGTCAAATAATTCTGGGAAATAAAAACAATACAGACAGACAGAAACAACAGAGGGAAACTAAAAAAAAAGTAGAACCTAACAATGGGGCCCTTCAACCACACGCGAAGCCATGCAGATAGACAGGAGCAACAGAGGAAAAGAATAAGAAGTAGAAGCTACCAGTTACGCCCTCCAACCACCCGTACTCGCTGACTCATTTATTGCCCGAGAATCCTCGCCATTTGGATCAGTTGTGGAAACAAGCGTGCACTTCCTGTTCTCGTTTTCCACACAAAAGACGACACATTGGGAAGTGTACTTTTCCTCTTTTTTTGTAAGTGTTTTACGGCGCTCGCAAATGCATAACGTCATAATTATGAGCGCGCAGAACACACCCAACATTTTCACTTGGTAGGAAATTTTGAATTTTCACCAGGTGGCAGCCAAAGCCTACTCTTGTCGATTTTAGACCACCAAGGGATCTTGGACGTGCGCAACGGTACCTCCAAGATCTTTCACCTTAGTCCGAGAAGGCTAGGTTTAGATCTTTCCTACCAGAAGATCAGGGGTGTTGCTGAAAGAAAGCAGTAAGAAGGAGCCAAGGAGAAGCAGTAGAACGGCTGCAGAAAGAGCCAGGAGACCAGAGGAATGGGCACAACAGGTGAGAGTGTGGGGACAGAAAGTGGAGACAAAAGCAGATGACAGAACATTTCTAGAGAGCAGGAAAAGAGGTGAAAGGAGACCATTTTAGAGAAGTACATTTTTCCGTCGCTATCTGGATTCGAACCCGGGGCCTTTGAAAGAGATGCGAACACTTTAATCTCTAGGCCACGTGAGCCCCCGGGAAGTGCGCAAAAACAGTGTTAAAGCTCCCAACAAAGAAGGAAGTTAACCTTTTTATGAATGTATAATCTTTACCATCTGAGCAATTGTAAATCTAAAATAATGTCGAGAAAAGAATTGGCTAATTTGTACAGGAAAAAGAAATAAATTGTCAGACCATATAGAATTTATCATCTATCGTTTACCTTTAAATCGTCCTAGGCTCTCTTTACCCCACAAAAGAGATTTGAATATTATACAACATATTATCAAATACACGTTATATGAGCTCAATTTTCTTTCAGCAGGATACGAAAATGGACGTGTATAAACTCTAATAAATAATGCTGCAATGCCAGAATGCATGAACTTAAAATACGCTCAAAAGTATGTTATACTTAGATCTACTTATGCTCTGCTATTAATTTTCTGAAATATTTTTCTACCTTGTGAGTATATTTAAGTGGTGGAACCTCGGAACTGAAAGTCAGTTTTCCTAAAGATTGATCTACATGACGTGGACAGACTTGAAAACTATCCAAAACAGCCTAGATTCAAGAACCATTGGGGATTAGAACCTGGTTCAAAACAGATACAGGTTTTTAATTGCATTTCACGCACTGAAGTGTTTAAAAACAAATTCACTTAACAAGTCGCTACAAAATGTCAAACTATTTCGAATGGAATTCTTTCGATATAATTCCGAATAATATTACGATTTTGATAGAACAGTTAGAACATCTATTGGTTTTTGACTTCATCGTCTTAGTAACTCAATACAGCCGAAAAACGTCACATAGAACTTAAAGGTAGCGAAGTTGCTTTATGCATGAAAATAAACCACCAATAAAAAATTAAAAAAAGAGGGGTGGGGGTTGGGGGTGGGGGTTGTCAATTTGTCCACTGTAGTGGGCGCCATGAACTCTGGTGACGTGTTTGTGATGGCTGTGTGTTTTAGTGCATGAAAAGACTTTTCACTTTTCACCTTTGATGGAAGGCAGATAGGAAAGAGTAACTGCCCCTCTCTTTTAGTGTAAAAACACAGAAGTTTTAAACTTTCTTGACGAAACAAAATGATAATGTATGTGAGAGTCAGCGACTCCGTGGCGTGGCCTAAAAATCATGTCCACTGGAGAGAACACCCTGCAACAAAGGGTTTAAATGCAAATACCAAAAGACACATTGTCTTGAACTATTTGGTAGGGTTAGAAAACAGGTCTGGCGAGGAAGGGTTAGTTTTTGTGTTTTTTTTTTTTAAAGTAGAGGTTTAGTGGCGCTCGCAAAAGCATAAGGTCATATGAGCGCCAATGGGTGTATGTTAACAGAGGAGTCCTTACAGGGAATCGTGCTTACTCTGCTCACCTCTCTAGCTTCGACAGCACAAAGTCTGTTTCGATTATCAAGGCACCTTGGAAATACCGGATCACAAGAGTGTGACAAACATACAAAAGAAGTAGAGGAAAAATGACGAGTGTAAGGATTAGGAAATAAAACGCAGTTCATGCACAGTTATGAGCATGGCATTGATGAATCAGCCCATTTACAATTATCAATCTACTGTTTTAAAAGAACATACCAATGTCCCCCCTTTGGGAATAGCCTAAAGACACTTCAGTCAGTAGCACTGCCCCGGGGGGTAAGGAAGGGTTAAGATGACTTGCTGCCCAGAAAACACCCGAAGTTAACAACGAACTTCAAAGAATAACAGTCACGGCGTCTTGTACATTTACGTTCCACAGGACTGGGTCACTATATTGTAATTGACTCTGACAGTTGTTGTTTTTTTATTCCTCACTCTACTAACTTTACTATTTTAACCCCATTCTTTCTCCGTATCCATCCCATCAATGAATGAAATCGATATCTCTCTGTCTCTCAGTCTCTATCTCTGTCTGTCTGTCTGTCTCTCTGTATGTGAGTGTGTGTGTGTGTGTGTGTGTGTGT